TTTTATGTTCTTGCCACTCGAACATAAAATTCATATCTTCTCGCCACCGTGTAATATCCTCTATATATTAGGTAAAATGTCTCAATAGTGAAGTAAGAAAACAACCTGAGATAATACTCACGTATATCATACCAATGGACCTTCCTTTTATTAATTTACCACAAGGGAGTTTCTATATTTACTTAAAGCTTACTTTGTACGTAAATAATAAAACGTAATTTCGTTCTAAAACGTGAATGCATATAAAGAATATATTACCCCTGGAAAATGTTCAACTATAGTCTCAATATTTCAATAAATATGATAATAATATTTTCCACCCGACACTAATAGTCATACTATCTCGATCTTGACGGAATACAAACAATCACGACAGTACCATGTCACCATACATAGTTTGCACAACTAGAACTGCCTTCTACGCTAAATACTTCGTACGAGCAACACATTAAGGAGTTTAATTAAGCAACCACCAGCAGCGAGAACGTTCTTTGCCGTTCTCTGCGAAACAGCATTAGAGAGCTTAAACAATGACGACTGGGAAAAACGGATTTATATTTACCCTTGAATTTCAAAGTTATCTAGAAATGTTCAGTAAGCCGAGCGATCTAGCACCCTGCTCTAACTAAGTATAAAACGCCAGCGATCAATTCTAGAAGAAATACGAAAAGTTAGCCGTCGTGGCTCGCGTTCTTCAAAATACGCGAAACGTGATCATTTCACGCTGCTGTTTTGGAAAGGACGGTTACGAAGTGTACAAAGATTAATAACGCACGGGCATAACCATTGTTCTGGTCGTTGAACCTTTTGTTTGGTGACGTTCCCGTCGCCATTGCCGCTAAATAATTGGAGAATTCTTAAGAAATATACATAAGTTAATTTTTTTTACCACGCGTTGTCCAGGGCATTGCCATGGTCATTGCTTGAGATCCCTATTGTGGCTCTCCAGCCATCTGATTGACTTCATCAGTTCAACACGACAGTCGCAACTTTCAGGTAACCCTTACACACTGGTTGTTCTGGAGAATTCTTTGCATAAAAATAACAAATTTATTGTTCAACTGTGCCAAGAGTAAATTATTTCTCTTTAGGCAATAGGCCATTTCCGCGTTGCCTTTTGCCTCTGTCAAAACGAGTCTTAGTGCGAAACTATTCATATGAAAATGTGTTTCGCCTGCAGATTCATTTTCATGCAAATCAACCCTTGTCATATGAAAGGTTTTGCACGAGGCCTCGTTTTGAAACCGAGGCACAAGGTAACTCTGACTTTCCACATACTGCTCGAAACTGAACTTGTATTGTGTTTGTGCAAAGAACTCTGCAAACGCATAAATATACTGTGTATATCATAAAATAATCGATGTACTTACGTATGTCTCAAAGCAGACGTTGTAGATTATAAGATTCATCATTAAACTCTTCCTAATCAGTAGACATTTCAACGTTTTTCAAAAAATAAACTCTTAATTTAAAACATTATATCACGTGTTTTCATAATAAACATGAAAATGAGTCTTGATACGTTCTACTTTGTGATTATCTCTTTCAAATGCGAGTACAACTTTAGTTGATTTTCTTAAAATATAAAACTCTTAAGTCCATCATTTCAATGATTCGTCGATATCTTCTAATATCGATATCGATATCTTCTACCATATCTTCTAATGGTAGATATGGTAGAATAATTTCCTCTGCACTAACATTTTGTACTAGAATAACATTATCCTTTAAAACCAACACAAAGAATTCAAACAAGTTTTCATGCATTATTATACACTGAACTCACTACTTCTTTTCTGATTGGCCGAAAGCGTACAATGAACCACCCAGTTTCTCTTATAGAGCGGTTTTCAATTGAGTGTCGAAAAGTAATCAGTTTTGCACTTTCTACGCCACACGATTGGCTTAAAAACTCGGGCCACTTTTTCATTCAATCAGAAGTAAAACCAAAACAAACTGTGACGCGTTCGCAAACATTTTCCCGCGCTTCGCGTCAGCCACATGTAATTACTTCGAATTTCCATTGGTTCACTGTATTGTCCGTGTCCTTTGTTATTGGCTAGAGTGATTACTTTGGTTTTGGTTTTACGACACTCAGTTGAAAACCACTCTAACTATCATAAGTACCTTTTAAGGAACACTTTGTCTAATAAGACGCCAGGGTATTTGTGCTTCAATTCTGGCCAAAATCAACACCCTGGCCACTTTCTCACACTTTCCACACTAGCAGACTTAAGTAGCTTTACTTAAGTATTAGGAAATATGCGCTGGTCAGGAATTCCACTTGATCTGAAATCCAACACTGCCTCGTGCGGAAGCGCTGTTCTGCGCGGGTAGAAGGTGTAGTTGCTGGGATAGTTCAGCAGGTTCTCAACTGACGACATGTAGAGATCAGCAAAGCGCACCAAACGCCGTGTGAAATAAGTGGAATTGTTATACGTCCTAAAGACGCTGCCAAATCTTGGGTTGAACATCGCTTTCAACGTATACCTGCCATAAGCAGAACAAATGGTACGGTAAATCCTCTATTTAGCTTCCCTATCTGGTAGGCCCCAAGACCATTTTTCCAAGGACTACTAGAGGAAAATTCAGCAACATTCAAGGACTCGTCTCCTCCAGAATCACAGGTAAAATGTGTTTAGGTGGGCAGGGACACAAACTACAGAATACTCAAGACCCCGTTGAAGGTAGAATTACTTACACTTTTATGTACTTCACATTATATCGCTCAACACCTGTACCATCAACATCACCTCAATATTGCTTTTTTCACCTTCAGTCTCTCGACCATTCAAGAACTTGTTAACAAAATTCAAGGACTTTCCAAGATGAAAACTTGCATTTTTCAAATTTCAATGACTCTCCAAGGCCTGTGTCCCCTTAGTCTCCTCCACAGACGTTTTTGGGAGCGTTGCGTGACATCCCCAAAACCGGCTGCGGAGGAGGCTAGTGTTCCCTCCACTCTTCCCTTTTTTTAACAATCAAAACAATAAATGTCCGACTGTATTACCACTGTATTTTACAATATCAGTCCGGAAACAAAATACATACGGTATTTGAGAGCCTTAGGGAGAAATAACACAGATACTTGATGAAGTCGAACCTCTTAATACGGAAATCGAAGAGGCATAGCTGAGTGTCTGCACAGTCATATCTCTCCTTACGGACACCTACATCACATGGACACCTCTAAGTTACAGACAGTTCACTTGGCCCCAGGGAAACCAGATTTCATCTAATCTCATAATCTCTACCTCTATAATACAGACACTCAAATGTGCCCTTTTGGTGTTTGTACTGAAGGTGTTTGTATTGAAGGGGTTTGACTGGCCTGCATAGCATGCGTTCCATTACGAAGAGCTTTACCGCATTCTGGTTGCGTTTAAATTGGAGAGAGAGAGCAAAAACAAATCAGCGAAGCAGAGGGTGGTGGGGCGCTTGCCCCCACCATCCCCTGCTTCATCGATGTTTTTTTCCTCGCTCCAATTTGCGCGCAGCCAGAATGTGGAAAAGCTCTTCGCAAGGGAACGATTGCTATACTGGCTAGAGTTCGAAAATTGCAGAAATTAGTCATTTCTACAGCATAGAAGTGAACAAATCAACAGTATGAAAATAACCAATAAGCGCATTGTATAAATGATGAAATCGAGAGAATCCATTGCAGCTTCACCATTCCCAGGCTCAGTGATTGCTTAACCTCACCTTAGTTCTCTTCTTTCTTGTTTCCACCCTTCTAGAAGGTGTGCTCTTCTTGCGCTTGGGGGAAAGGCCTGACAAAAAATACAAAAAACACTCCGTTCATGATAATTTATAAATTTACCTGCAGACAATAATTTGAGAGACATTTCTTCTTACTGAGAAATCGTTCAATTTAGAATAGTAAACAAGCACACAGTAGGTGACTCTAAACCTCTACAGAGAGCATCATTTAATTTTGTTGTTTTTAGTTTTCAAGCCGTCAGTTAACTTGTTTGTGTACAAAACATTGGAAAGTCCTTTTTTCTTCTTTAGAAATGTAAAGGAGGTACCAGGCAACAAGTAAGCAGCCCTACACGTCCAGAAACGGGATAACAAGGTTCTAGTATAACCTTGATGGGTAAATTGTCCAAGCTATCCCCATAAAGTACTCTAGTCACTGAGAGAGAGTCATAGACTTGCCACAAGTCCACCTTTTCTTAACCCTTGACTATCTCACTCGAGCGAAGCGATATAATCTTCGAGCGACGTAAGTCGCGAGAAGTCGACCTTTCCAACGCCGAAACTAACAGGCCAGGGAAGAATAATTGGAAAGGACTTTTAGAAAGTCTAGAGAGTAAAAGCTATCTGCGCGTACAACTTAAAATGTCTAAAATAAAATAAAAAATGTGCTCATCAAATAAGTTCAATTATGGACCATTTTGATACAAAGCAGTGATTAACAAACACGCTTGATATGAATTGAGTACCTTCAGCTGGATGATCAGATCTTGAATATTACTTAACCACACAACAGAACGCTTGAAATCCAGCGAGTTACTTTGCTTGATTTCCCACTAAGAAACAAGGAATAACAAAATGAAACTCCTGAGAACGTGGGCTGGACAAGCCTACCATTCAGGGGATTAGTAAAAGATTAGTTGCAATACAGATCGCAGAACAGGAAAAGGCAAGGATGGATGGCATGAAAAATGTTTAATTGTGCTAAGATCAACCAGAACATCCTATGTTCATGCGAAGAAGTCTATTGACAGTCGTCTTTTATGAACGAATAACCCCAAAACGTAATTTTTTAGTCCTAAACATTTCAGAATAGTAACTAGGTATGGAATGTTTACACCTTAACAAATGGTATTACTACCTCACGCTACGCAATGAGACACGGCAACAGTTTAAAACATTTAATGAGAAAATAAGTCATAATAACTAGACAAACTTAGCCTGCGAGCAGGCTCACGTTGGAGCGCTAACTCACCAGTCTTCTTCCCGCCGACAGATCGCTTTGCTCTCCGCCGCTCGCGCGCGTGATTCAGAGGTGAGCCTGCTCGCAGACCAGACAAACTAGCATTCTCAAAGTCATTAAAAATTCATCAAGTTTAAGCAAATGAAATCGTGACTCTGATGATGTTTGGATTTCTGATCTTAATTAGCACAGATTTTCACGATTTTATTTCTCCGTTTTCTCCTTAGTTTTAGTTTCGATTGAGAAGATATATCAATCACTCAAGACAGTGTTTGACCTCATTTCCAAACATCTCGACGTTCGTCAAAAATACTCCGTTGCGCGTCGTATTTTCAACTCTCTTCTCGGTGTTTGGAAATGCGGTCAAACACGGTCTTTCATGTTTGATATATTACATAAACAGTGAGCTCAATGTCACTTGTTACAGTAAGTACCTCTAGTTCAGGAATTATAGCTCCAGTTCTCCAGCCATGATGCAAAACAGGATCCTAAAATAAACCAATAGCTTCTAACTAACCGGCAATTTTGTAAGAGCAAGGAAAAGCGCTATTTTAATAGTTTGTTCCCGTTTCTTTATTACAGAAGGAGCAAGTCAACTAAGACCACGTCCACACCACGCTGAAGAAATTTGAAAACGGCGTTGTCATTCTGAAAACACCTCAAATGTTTTCCATCCACCCTATGCCGGACAAAATTGCGTTTCCAAATTCCTCATGTTTGACGAAAGTTTTCGAAAAGCTCCGTTTTCGTGGCAAATTAGTGTGGACGGTAGGCCTAGCCAAAAAAATAAAGCTGCGTTTTCAAATTTCTCCAGTGTAGTGAGGACAGGGCCTAACAAAAGCCCCCCATGACAGGAATTAATTTTTATGAAGGTAATAATAACTAATACTGAGTTATTTATGATTTCTATAACAATCAAAAGTAGATATCAACAAGAGGGAAATAATGTATCTTACTCGCAAGTCACTGTAAACATGATCTCCAAAGTACAGCACATTTGGACCATACCAGCCAGTAAATTTTATGAACTGCTCAATATTTCCCTGACAGAAAAAAAAACAAACATACATATATCTTATTGAATTTGGCTTGGGTTGTATTTTAACATGCCAACCACAATTCAAGATTAAAATATGGGAGTCACCGACTAGTTTTTGAGTTATAAACACTTAAAGCTAAAATTACGGGTGTTTTAATGGTTATGCTGTTGGTATGATAACCTTTTGCATCACGAAAATAACCACAACTAGCTTACAAATGATCACACAATTTTATTGATACCATTATTAGGGCATTAAATGAAAAAGAGTGGTAGCATTGAATCATCAAAGAAGTGCTGCAAAATGCTAGAAACCGTTGTGAGCCACATTAAAATGTCTGTTTAAAGTAGGACTTCAAAAGTGTAAACAACAAACAATTCAAGGCAACAACATTTCGGAGCGACATCACTTATGTTAAATTCTGTTGCACTGGGACCAGAGTGGAACTGATTGATGCGTTAACTGTTTGCTAACGGACAATATATTCCATCAGCCTAAAAATACAGATTGATAGATACCTCACATTACTTGAATTATTAAGATCAATGTGCCCAAAAGAACGACAACAGTAACTACAGGTGTAAGTAATCTAAATAGCAAATGCAATGTCAAGTGTAAACTCATTGCACCCTTACCTCCAAGTAAACTTGTCCTTTACACAAAGCTGAAACCTTTTGCCACTGTGGACGATACAGTCTGGTGTCAAGGCATCTAAATGGTCTAAAAAAATCAACTTTTTTTAGTTTGTTTGAACAAACTATGGCCAAACCAGCAACAATTGGTTCATAAAACACAATGAGTAACAAACGATCACCGTGCAAAAATGAAAATATATCATGATTCGAATAACCGTCAAACAACTTAGCTTAAACTAGTATTGTTAATGTTCGACGTCTGCTAGATTACATACTAGACTGCTCTATTTTTCAACACGCACGAAAGAAAAAGCGAGCAAAGCGAGCGCAAAGCACAAGCGGCTGGGGAGAGGGAGGCCAGCGAAGCCAGCCAAAAGAGCCAAGTCTCCCGTTTTGCGCTGATGCCCAGTTCTCTCACGATTCTATCGACGCATTCAACGATGGCCGAATAAAAATACGAGAAAATAGAGGGCTGTGAACAGTCTCAGTACATGCTAACAAACAAACCTTGAAGCTTGCTGATGATAGAAAGAAGGCTTGCGAGCCTGTGTTATGATGACATCAAAAAGATCACGCCATCCCTTGCCAACCATGTGGTCCATGCCTTTCTTCCTAAAGACACGTTGGATTTCATTCATAAAATGTTACCTAAGACCCCATCCACACAACAATGGAGGAATCTGAAAACACAGCTTTATTTCTACGGTTAGGCCTACCGTCCACACTAATCCGTCACGAAAACGAAGCTTTTCGAAAATGCTCTTCAAACCTGAGGAATTTGGAAACGCCAGCTTTGCATTTTAGTGTGGACGGAAAACATCTTAGAAGAACTTTTCGAATGATTTCCCTGCGCGAGTTCTCCTAAAACACAAATCCAGAATGACCGGTAATTAGTACATTTTTAAATTTCTAATTGTTTTCTGTCCACACTATGGACATTTGGTGAATGATACTTTTTCAGAGTGAAGACGCCGTTTTCAAATTTCTCCGGCGTAGTGTGAACGGGGCCTCAGTGACAGATTTGAAGCAATTTTTTTAAAAATTTTTGTTTAGCATCAGAAATAGACATTTATTGTTACTTCATTCACTTTGGCTGACAGTCATTCACTGGGTTATTTTAGAAACACGGCGTTCTCAAAATTGCTACACACTGCAAATGAGCCCAGTGAACTGTAGTGAATATGATTTGTTGATGCTGACATACTTACACAAACTCAAAGCCACTGTTGGTTATTAAGAACAGCACTTTCCCTGAAGAAACAAGTCTATTAAGCAGTTCTCCCAGACGAGGGCTCCTCTTGAGGTATTTGTCTATCGAAAACAATTTATCACAATTTATCACCCAATGTGGTGGTGGTACAAAAGCTAGTGGTGCAACTAAGAGCTGGATTGAGAACTCTAGCTTCAGAGAAAAAAGGAACTACATCTTTTGCCAGGGACAGAAGTAATGCATCAAACACAACAAAAAGTGAGTTGAAAATAGAGCGTGCAGTGGGGTATTTTTGACGAGCTTCGAGGTGTTTGGAAATGTTGTTAAACACTGTCTTGAGTGTTTGATATATCTTCTCAATGGAACCTAAAACTAAGAAGGAAGCGGAGAAATAAAATCTTAAAAATCTACGCTAATTAAGATCAGACATCCAAACACCGTCACGGTAATTGATGAAACAAATTCCAAAGCATCAAGTAACTCTCATGACAATTATTTTCAAAGTACACAGTCGAGTGTTTGTACCAAATGCCATGATGTATTTTTACTTGGGAAGATAAGATGGAAAGTTCTCAAGTAATCTCAACTCCTTATGTTGCTAATGAGTATGTTATGCATTTTTATGATATTGGTTTATTTTAATTTGTAACTCAATTTATTCATTCTGTTGATTTGCTCTTTTATACCTATATCACTGATGACCGCCTGATACATCTTTCCAGATTTGTGTACATTTTGCACAGCTTGCTAAAAAAAAATGTAAGGTAACAATTGTTTCAATGTTAAATAGCACAATATTAACAAATGTAATGCAGGCAGAAGGCATGATTAACGTCCTCAGCCTTTCACACTTATTACACGCCCATGATCAAGTCTATCAGGATTATATATATTATCAATATGATGCTGTCAAATAACTGGAAACTGTTAGCAAATAATCACAAAAAGCAAAGTCCATCTCACATTGTTAAGCAAGGGTCTTGTATTTTCACAGTGCCACAACTAGTATCTGAATATATAAATTTCCCCTTTTTTCATTCAATCTCCAAAAAGTTATGCTGATTGCACAAAATCTGATGGCATATAAATGTACATATGGATGTTTACATAGTTGACATACTTTGTGTGGCATAGATTCGAAAATATGCTCAGATATTTGTCTGCAGACATAATCTGTTCTGAGAAGTGAACAGTTTTCTTGAGAGCTTAGCTCAAGGAAAACTGTGAGCTTTGAGGAACAGATAATGACCAAGGACAAATATGCAAGAATACTTTCATGCCAAATGGAGGCTATTGTGTTTATTATCCTTCAAATATTTTTAACAACACACAAAGTTTTGAAAATTTGGGAATATCCTCGGATATTCCTCAGTTTTAGCTAGGGAATATTTGGTCACATGACACGCATGAGCAAAAATATTTGATGGATAATAAACTTAGATATTACAAATCCCTACTTATATTTATTAAATTATAAATTAACAAACCCTGGAACTTGTGAGGTCTGCATAAAGAGCGAGTCAACGAGTCACGCAAGCCATTCCAGTTAGCTTAAACTACAGTCTGGTTAGCCTAAATATCACTCTAAATTAGTCTAAATAGTAATGTTAGTTAGCTTGAATAGCTTGCAGTCAGCCTTCGTATTAGAGCCAGTAATGATGTCTTGTATCATTTAGCTGAAAACATACCTGACAGTCACCAAACAAATACTCCGGGTCATAAGGAATACTTCTTTGCTGGAAAAACTGCTCAAAATAATCGGAGAAATTCTTACTTATTAAAAGTGATGCACAGCAAATCCAGCTAAACAAAACTATCAAAATCCGGTAGTATTGTTCGGGTAGTAATATTAAAGGAATCTAACTAATAGACCACTGACACCACTACATCATAGCTAGCTAACTACATCTGCCAACAAAATTAAGAGGAAATTTGTAATGTATGCAGAAAGCAGCATGAACTAGCTAGAGTGTCTGTGTCATTAATGGCAGCTTAGGGGTGAAGCAGTAATGGCATCTATTTTAAGTCTTGAGTCTTAAAATTTTAAAATATAAGTGTTTGAAAGTTTCAAATTAGTATTTTTTATGCACTAAATTAATTGGTCTTAATATCAAAATAAGTCCAAGGGCTTCTCTTGGAAGACTCAGAAAATCAATTAGACTGAGCTAGGGTGTACTTTTTGGAAATAAGCAACAAGGTGTGGCCAAGTTAACCATTGCTCACTGAAAATAAGGGCAATTAACCTTATTCTATTAGACATTATACAGCTTAGTAGAGTAGACAATGATGGTTCTGGAACATGGAAATCTCACAAAACATTTTCATCCCAAGGGGACCTCCCAGCTGTATGATCAAAGGCTCTGTGAGCAAACTTGTCAATTTCCCAATGGGTGATGATTGACAAGTGTGGCTTACGGGTTATTCTAGTTATATGAGTTACCATATTGACTTCTGGGGATACTTGTTAAAACAGCNAGCCGTGGATTTCCCAGTAAATGATGATTGACACGAGCTAACCTTTGCTTCTTTTCATAAAAAAAGTAGACAAAATAGGTCCGCATTGCGGACATCTGTAGCTTACGGGTTATTCTAGTTATATGAGTTGTAATACGCGCTAGTTGGCATTATTCGTTTACAACAGCATTTTTTTCCAAAAAATAATAAGGAAAACCAAGTGAATCGTTCCTTACTTTCTCAATTTCGCATGACTTTTTGTGCATACTACATGACGTACAACAAAAGGGAAGCTTCCATTGCATGAATTGCATTGCTCCCGGATGGATTTACTCGTACTCGGTTTCCCAACATGTTTTTCTTGTTGCCTGAAGACGAAAGCTAGTCTGCTTTACGCGACTCCACGCCACTAGATCGAGTGCGCGGGTGTTTGAACGACAAATCACAATAGGCTGCGGATAAGATCGAAGTGACTCTGCTCGCAGGGTTGCTGCGAAAGATCTTCAGAGAAATCGAGGAATTTCACTTTTTTATGAATAATAGACACACAACATGTAAGCCATCGGATGCGATTTGATGTTTGCTTTGAAAATTTTGTTGGACATCAAGGGTGATACCATTTTTCAGGAGCAACTAATTTGAAAGTGAGGGTGCTTAAGTGCTGTTATAGAATTGCCGGTTATTATTTTGCTTTGCAGGGAGACTAAAACATGGAGAAATGAGCAACGGTTACACAGGCTAACCACTCCTTGAACACCCTCCAGTTTTTCTCTGTCGTGGAGAAAAAAAAAGCCCAATTCCCTTTGTCTTGTAATTTCAAGATCTCGGATGAAAGAGATGTTATCAATAAACATGCCTCAGAAACAAACAGCGCAAGTAACATTTCGATTTGGCACACTGTAATACAATATTTATAGACTAACACATAAAGAAATATTTCCGTATCTCACCGTTTATCAAAATAATTTACCTATTTTAAAGTTAACTTGGCTTGAACGCCATCTTCGCAATTTTGAAAGCTTATCCTGAAATAACAACTACATTTATTCTGCATTTGTTGAATCATCAGTCAAACCTTCATTGGTTACTCTTGCTTCGTTTCCGTGGCAATAACAGTAACAAAGTGCTCCCTTAGATTTTAACTTAAGCCAAGAATGGCTGCTTGCCGTGTCATTAAAAATAATAAAGGGAACCTGCCTTACAAAACAGTCTTTATTTATGCGAGGCATCGCGAACACCAGACTCGCTGAGTTAAACTATAAGACGACCTTGGGGCCGTATACTTTCTACTAGATACTAAGTACGTTATTTAAGAATAGATCTTGAGAAAAGATCTCACACATGAAATTTACAAAAGCTACATTTTGCTGGCATTGNCAAGATTCTAGAGATTTGGAGATTAAATGTTTTCTTAAACAATGTTTGAAGTCCTTTCGTGAGGGATTTAACTTTAACGCAGAGTCTAAGGAATTCCAAATTTTAACAGTTCTGTAGATGCTTAATAAGACAGACAGACAGACAGAAAGACAGACAGACAGTGAGTCTCACTGGTAATCACTCTGGATGTTTAAGAATGGGGGAGACATGGCCGTACTTCCCTGTGTTACTGATGATGCGGCCGCAAAATTCTGCACAGTTTGAATCCTATTCAGGTTATCCTCAGTGGTGTTGCTCCAAACATTACAACAATAGAATAACTTATACGAAGTCCACCAAAAATGAAAATGTGGTAAAATATTGTCACAGTGTTTGATATAATTATCTTCTCAATCTAAAACTAAACAACCACTACAGCTTGAATTACCGTGTCACCCTTGTAGCCTGAGCGTCCATTGACTCCACGTCTGCCAGTTGCGCCAGCATCTCCTTTGTCACCTGGTTGTCCCACTGGCCCTGCTGGGCCGGGCCTTCCTCGAGGGCCTGGGGAGCCCGTGGCTCCCTGTTCTCCCTTGCCCCCAGGAGCCCCGTTTCCCCCAGTATCTCCGGTCTCACCGGGTAGACCCTGCGGAGTAAATAAAAGGAACCCTTGGGTATTGTTGCAGGCGAAAAACTTTGCAGGCTGTTTAATGAACTTCAAAGAAATCTTACAAAAGAATTGATGCTGATGTTGACAGAAGATGATAGTGTTATGTTTCAAAGATAATACTGATGTTAAACAATAATAGGCCAACACCCTGATGGTTGATTGTCAAAGATGATTTAACAAGCCTACAAACCCTATCTTAATGCAAACAGCGGAAGGTTTTAACTATCACCCATCAGGAACTAATCTCTGGAGAGCTGAATTCTAATATAAGGAGATTGATGGAGTCAGAGTTGATCAAATCCCGGTATAACTAGCTAGCTAACGTTTGCAAAGCATGGACAAAAGCTTAGCTTAATTGTGATGACTTAATTTATATTTTCCTGAGAAACAAAGCTTATTAAGACTTTGAGACTTAATTAAGAATGGACCAGTAACGCATTTATAATAAGGTTCTAAGTGAACATCAATGCATAAAATGACAGTTACACTTAATATGACAAGTAATAAAAAGTTTGTAAAATCGTGTTGTAAAATGACTTGAGGTTCTAGAAGGATAACTAGTATAATCAACACTACTGTACGTAGGTAAATTAACTTACTGCAGGTCCCTCTGCTCCAACAGAACCAGTAGGTCCTGGCGCACCCTAGAAAACACATGTACACAAAAATAAACAACAATATTTACCCAATTACACTCCTTACTCCTTGGTACATGAACGTTCCAGTTACATCCAGTTCTGGCAGTGTAGCCCAACGACAATTGCACTGAAGGTATCCAAAATGGCAGCTGCTCAAGAACGTGTTAAAACACGAAATGGCAAACTGACGAAATGGCAGTTAACTGCCAAGAATCAATGTGGGATACTGTTAACACATACAGTTATTGAGAGCTAACCATCTTCAAGTCAGTGAGATTTAGCCTAACCTGAGCGCTCATTATGTCAATCGGAGCGCTACTGAGGCTAAACATAGTGACAGTTCCCCATTTCATCTTCTAAACACGCCCACTGAAGTATTATGGGGTTGCAGAGTTTATAAATTGGGAATTTTCATCAATTATTTTAGCTACTCTCATTGAAACAAAACAAGACATTTAATGGCAAGGTGGTCGTTGTGAATAGAGTATGGTGCAGACTTTTGAATGGCCTTGACAGCAAGTAACAAGTGAATGCCTCACAAAGCTCAAAAAAATTTAGATCACCAGCTGTCATTCCAATTCATGAATTCCTAGTCCAAAACATACCAACATCTGTAAACTGGCATACGGAAAACACAGACTCCAGAAAAGGAAACGGATCAACAACCTGAACTGGAATCAGACCCAGACAATATTGAGATTTGATGTTGTTACTGACAATAATTTCATCTCTATGTGTTATATTTATTTTCTTTTTTTTGGTTTTTTGTTTTTTGTGTTTTGGTCTTTTTTTACAAAAAAAAATATATGTATATGCTGGTTTTTTGTCCACCAAACTCTTTCTGGTCCGTTTCGAGATTCCACATTTTCAATACACACATCACAAGTATCTTTCTCTTTTTCCAATACTTTTTTGAGAAGAAGCAAGCTTTGCTTACAAGGGCCAGTGAATGGTACATATAAAGTCATAGATCTCGACAAAGTGGACCTGATCTTGGGATCCTTTTGCTGAGTCAAAAAATCTCATTTGTGAGTATTTCGTTTTCAACCTTGGATTCATTTAAGTCACAGTCTTGGATTTTCAATTAAGGGTCTTGTCGTCTTGGCGAGTCTTGGATTTTACCATTCAGTGCGCCTCTTACAGACCATGTGGATGAATATACATGTAGTCTGCATACTAGCCAAGTGGCCCATCAGGGCGGAACTTATCCTAGGAGTATTTCTACTAACCCCCGGATGGAATGCTAGGTCATTGCAGCATTACCGCCAGCATTAAGTTCGCCGGTACCAATCAGTACACCTGGGTGGAGAGAGGCACTGTGAGAGTAAAGTATCTTGCCGAAGAACACAACGCAAGGTCCCCGGCCAGTGCTTGAACCCGGACTGCTCAATCCGGAGACAAGTGCACAGACCATGAGGCCACCGTGCCTCTCACTGTGGATGGATATACTCATTTTAAATGACTTACAATCGGTCCACCTGCTCCAGGTTCACCAGATCTTCCTCGTGGTCCTTGTGCACCCTAGTGATTGTAATCCAGATTAGTACATTGATCATCTTCAACAAAAGGGACACCTTCTCAACAAGATACCTTCAAGAAAACTACAGGACAACTCCTGTAGGAGTTGATCAGCCTCCACAAAAAGATGACTCCTATAACTAACAAAAGTGGTGCATATATATGTCTCTGCTGGGGAACACCTAAGGTTTAACATTCGTAAGCAAGGGACACCTTCTATAAGGGATCACCTAGCAAATCGAGAGAACATATCTTAACTAGGTGATACCCACTTAGCTTGCAATAGGAAATCTCCCATATGGTGTTGCATACTCCGCTCCCTTGAGAATAACGCTTTGATTAGAACATTACCTGCCACAAAGGACAATTCCCAGGGTGTACTCTCAGAAAGATTTAGTGGGGGTGTGCGGCCTGCTTCCCAAAACCCTTACTCTATTTATGACCAAAATCTGCGATATTCCCTTCCCTATTTATGACCTGACCAAAAATTCGGAACCCTTTTTATGACCTGACTCTTAAATCAAAACCCTTTTTCAGACCTGCGTTATAATTAGGTCCCCAGTTCAGACCAATGCTAAATTACCGTAAACATAATTTGTGAGGGGCTTTGGTTGATTTTCTTTTCGATAATGACAAAAAAGTGGCTTCTTCTTAAAAACATACCCATATCAAGGCTAGAGTGCAAAAACCATACCCTATTTATGACCAAGATGGCTAAAATCAGCTAAAATCCCTACCTTATTTATGACAAAAACGGCTGAAATACCACACCCTTTGGGGCCACACAAACCTATATAGCACATATAAGGTAGTACCCCCACCTCCCTGGGACAATTAGTCTTGGTTAAAGCTACTTTAACCAAGTGTCTTATTACAAAAGCAATGGAATTACCGGAGTTCCATCTGAACCCTCTCTGCCAGGTGCACCACCAAATCCCTGCAATTACAACATTCATACATCACTAAATATTAATTGCATTTCAAGCCACCAACTATGGGTTATTGACCAAGTTCGAGGTCAAGATGAATGGACATTGGCCATGATATTTTTTGTTTGTAGAACAAGATGCAGTAGAGGTCCTTTAACATGCAAAAAGAAGGCCATTATATGCCCAGCTGATTTAACCAGACAAGCTTGCACTCGGTCAATTAAGAATTTATTACACAGAACATTTCTTTTTGTGGGATACTATCAATGAATGGGCAATCCCAAGTAGGCAAGATAGCCCCATTCTAATTTTACCTCCTTTGCCAGCCAATCAAAGTACATTGTCTGATTTGGTTTATCTTGCACACACACACACAGAGCTAGACATGCACCTTTAATTTATAATGGCCAGGCTTACAACTGTGCTACACTTCTTGTACCCAGCACCCCTTTCAAAGTTGTAGCTTCAGGAGCATTTCAATCCACCTGCCTGTCCCTAGTGATGTAAGTTATCAGGCAAATCTACCAAAGGTGTCAAATGAACACTGTATGAAAAATAAGTTTTGATGTTGATTACCGTTGCACCAGGACTTCCCTGGTCACCTCGTTGACCTTGTTCACCTTGGTCGCCCTGGCAGAAATAAATCAGACTGGATGTTATTTCATGTCACAGTCCAACAGCACGAGAGACTGCATTTTGCCACAATTTCCAAACAAAACTAACATAGGAGAAAACACTGTATAGACAAATAAAATCATAAAATCTATCAGCTAATTTAGATCAGATATTGAACATTTAATCACAATTAGGAATTGTTTTCAATTGTTATCTCAAAGCTGGTGAATTATCAATGAATTTGAGAAACATTCATTGACAATGGCAACTATGACATCTGACCCCCGGGGTGGGGGAAGGGTACTCTACAAATCCTTACACAGAGAGGTTCCACCCCAGGGTCCAATCCCTTACCTTTTTGTATACAGCATCATTTTGACAGAAAAGGTTCCCCTTTCACACGCCTTTAATTGAAAAAGATACCCTTTTCAAATGCTTTCATAACCAGCCCGTATTATGAATAAATCGCCAAAAAAGGAATTAATCTTCTTGTCATTTTCATGTAGTGCTTAATAAACTAAATAATACAGCCATAAGGTGCATCTGTTAGAAATATTTTAACAGAAACCCTCTTAAAAAACTAAGGAATAGATTTCCCTACCTTTCATATACCTCAACTTGTGAAATCTCTACCATTTTATATAACTAGAGCCTGAGAAAGGTACCACTTTGGGGCAGAGNTTGTTCTTCTTCTTCTTCTTCTTCTTCTTCTTCTTCTTCTTCTTCTTCTTCTTCTTATTGTTGTTGTTGTTGTTATTATTACTATAGAACTCCAGCCAAAGCCAGGAATACTGAGCCAAGAAGTGTTTAGACCACTTATAAAGCAAGTTTTTTATTAGGCTAATTTTTTGTCACATTTTCACATTATCGTTATCGTTATCGTTATCATTATCATTATCCTTATTGTTATTGTTGTTATTATTATAACTGCTATTACCAAAGAAGACTCAGTAGATTGTCTTTTGTGGGAATTACAAGCTTTGGTTAAGACTTAAGACTTAAGATCTCTAATAAATTGGTACCTGAGACATTAAGTAACTTATAAGTACCTCTAATTTATGAATTTGCAGATTAATTACTTTAATGTATTATTATTTCTAATTTATTTGTTAATCCTTGGGTAAGTGTAACTTTACAAAAATTGCATCAATTTTTGACAGAAAAAGTAAAACACTGCTTAATGTTACAATTATAATTCGTTTTAATTGAATCAGAATGTAAGAGAAATTAACCACTGGAGCCAAAATTTAAAGTTGAAAGAAAACAAAATCCTAGAGCCAGTTCTAAGCGTGGCATTAAAAAAGTTTTATATTAAGTTACATGTACATGTAAATCTAACATGTTTCAAACATCAAACAGCACAATAATAGTGTTATGTTACACATTCCGTCCACCGGTTCAACGTTATTACATGTATATGAAATGGTGGTGGACCCAGGAAATTTATCAAGATGAGGGTTTGAAAATTTAAAGTTTAATTACTTATTTTTATCTAGTTGTGTCACATACTATGCTCCAGGTCAGAATCAATGCCATTAATGCAAGTTGAATAAAACTGGTCTAATTCTTACCGCTGTTCCAGTGTCTCCACGAAGACCTGTTTCACCAGTTTCGCCACGTTCTCCCTGTCACAAAGGAAAAAAAAACACATTTACTGTAGGTAACTAAATTTAAGACAGCTGGCGAGGATGAAAGAGTACAAACCAACTGCATTTAAGAACACTAGAGGTTCAGGTAGATAGATAGACACTTTTATTTAAAAGTAAAAATCTGAAGCTGGGTAATTTCAGGGTAGTCTCTTCATTCATGATCAGGCTTACAAAGCATCTCTGCCATCAATAGGAACCCTGAAGCTATTTACCTACCATAAATTACACAATAATAGGATATATACAAAAATAAAAACATAGATATATAAAAGTAGGTTGCCAACTCCAAGGAGAGAGAGACTCTTTAGTGTAACAGCCAAGATTGCCTCCCTTCAGAGGTGTAAATTATAGATTTTGGTAACCACTTACATGTAGGCTGGTGTGAGTAGTATACTTAAAATGTTTTTACTCATCAATTAAGGTAATATTTTTAGGGGTTGCATGCAGTCAAAGAAGTAGAAATTGTTGTTGAATAGTGCTAAATCACACAAATTTTGTTTTTCGCTCATTTAATTTGTCCCTCAGTTTCCGAAACCAAAGAACTAAGAAAATATGTAGATTTGCAATTTGCATATTCAATTTCAGTGAAAAGTTACAAAACATTTTCGAAATAGGAATTTAAAAATATAGAGTGATAGCAAAAATAAATTAGTCGCTCTCGGGGAAAAAACATCTTGGGATTAATAAAATTTGCAGACACGCTTTTGTTGTTTATAATTACATCAAACTAGCTACTGTCCAAATTTGAGGGCAAACAAACAAATTCCCTTCATGACTTGAAGCTTAAAAGGGACCCAAAAGATGATTCGGATGCTCACATTTAAAGGTCGTGAACAAATATTCAACAAATATTCATTCTATTTCAAAACTATTGCTGTAGTGTGATAGCCAGCTCTATATTTAGATTTAATTTCGTACAGGGGTTAGGTATCTACTGTTAAAACCAGACGTACTATTCGCTTGGACATGAGATGCATCTATTTAAGGTGCTCTAAAAGTATGCATGCACGTTTAAGTAGCTTAAGGTAATTCTGTTGAAATTGTTCTACTGTCAAACTTTTTTGAAATGGCATAATTAACATTCATGATATGAACATTAAAAATGCTATAAAAAAATGGGGACACCATGTTTGTTTACGCATCACCAGGCTCTTAAAATGGGGCATTTTTACTGGTTGGGCATTAAAAATGCGAATCACCTTCATACAGCCTGTTAAGTCTTGGTCACTTGAAAGAGACAAAATTTTATCTCAAAAGTAAAACTTCTTTTATTCACATAAGCGTGCAGTATTGCTCCCTCTAAGCCGTTTTTGATTGCCTGGTTGTGGGAATATTGCACTTCCTATTTATCCTTCCACTTCACAGTTCCTTGGTTAGCTTGAAGTCCTTGCCTTGGCCAAAATACACCCAGTACAGAACTATTTTCCCAAAAAAAATCATGTTCCACCATCAAACTTTTTTTCTTCTTAAATATGTTCTTTATTAGACTGTTCTTAGCAAATACCTCCAAAAAAATCAGGGGTCACCGTGCTCATTTAAGAGAAAAGGAACATTTATTTCGCTATCGAGCTTAGTTTGACGGAAATCTCTTAAGTCTTGTATGAGCACACGCTCATGTACGCGCTCCTGATGACGCGAAAATCGTGCACAGTAGGGATGCGCAATGCAATACTAAGGAATCGTCTTAAAGAAGTGTGTACAGTGTGAATGCAATTAACACAGATTCAAATTTGGAATTCACAAATCAGTTATTAAAACACCATGTTCAAACTAACCTCCTGTCCTCTTGTACCAGGAGGTCCTGACCTCCCAGGAGAACCCTGGAAATAAAATAAATAATAAATAAATAATTAATGAATGAATGAATAATACTACTAACAGTGTATTGTCCAGTAACACCAAGCAGTATGAATGGTCAAGATGTTTTATCCTGATCATTCCTTCTATCATCCATGCTCTTTAAAAAATGATACCTGCCATAAATATAATGAAATATACACTATATAGATTTAGCCAAGCCTAAAACTGGAGCTCCTGGTTACAATAAGTTTATCCTGGGTTGAGCCTGTGATCCAGTCAAAAACCTGTACCTGAGCAGAGGTCAACTTCAAAAAAGGATGTGACCTCAATTGACCTCTAAGCACGAGCCTGTAATATGGCCACATGATAATGGTGAGCTGATACCTTGTCTTGACAGGTTTCAATTGAACATATTGTAACATGGATGTCCAATATCAAAGATGCACACTGTAAACCCGCCACTCCAAACCTCTAACAGAAAAGCCCAAGGAATGAGGTTGTTGCAGGATGACATTTCACATTGATTTTCATGAGGGGGCGTACGGATAGAGGGACAGACAATCATGTGACAACCAACATTTTTAAGCTTGATGGGTTACCAAATTTTCTAAGTAATGGGGCTCTACTGACACATCCCTTTGGTGCCCAAGAGCTCCACTGTAATGGCTACTGTTATATATGCAACGGCCATTAACTACCCTAAGGTTAGATATTTTTAAAGAGATTTGACAGTAAACAATTTTAAAAAGTAACTCATCGTCAATTTGAGTCTGGCTTAAAGGGAAAGCATATTCCAGCTGATATAAAATTTTGTATTGTAATATGGGTATGGCCACCCTGGAAGCTTGAGGCCATGACCTTTAAGGGAAATGTGAGTATCCAGTACATATATCCTGTTAATTTTTGACGTACCCAATTATTCCAATTTCAGAAATTAACAATTCCCTACTTGATATCCCAGGATATCTGTTCTAATTGTCCCACTTCCATTAATTTTACTCCCAAATATCCTGTGCCCCATGAATGTTTTTGCTACTGTAAATATTCTGTATTCCAGTAGCCCCTAATTGGGGCATTATAATTCTGGCAGTTAAAGAGAAAATCAATGCTGAAAAAAGGTGAAGGTGCTCAAAGAAATATTAGCCAAAATGAAAAAACTTATTTCAATTTTGGCTTGGAATCTTGTCACAAAATCAATTAGCTAATACCTCAAAGAAAATACATGTATGCGCGCTTTGTTAAAAATCATGTTTTTATAACTTGATGAACCACAGAAAAGTTCTCACAGTCACTTTGTTTGTTATTTTCTTTGAACTGTTTTCTAAATAAGATAAAAATTTTCTTCATGTTCCAGGCGAGTTATAAAAGCACTCAAGAAAGTTTGGGAGAATTTGAAAAAGCTGTGAAAACATTCATCTATTGGCTTGTGTTCCCACAGTATTTCTTATTCTCCCAAGCTACGATCCACTCCTGTCTTCTATTTCTTAAATGCAATCCACTTCTATCTGCAATCTTGTACTTCTTGCCAAAATAATTTGGCCTTTAAGACATTCCTTAACACCATACTATTATTTACTTAGCTAGACATAATTAATACTTATTAATTTAAATAATGTTAGTAGTAACTCTGCAACCAGTACTAAGGGCCCAGAACTTACAGCTTCCCCAGGAGGTCCCCTGACAGTCTGGATTCTTGATGCACCAGGGCCCTTTGAATCCTGAGAACGAATCTTTAAACACAAAATGAAACTAATATTACAACTTCGATCAGGCTTAAATATTACTGACCAAATGTTGCCAAGACTCTGAACAAGAAATTCAAGGGAAGGAAGTGGTGTAAATGTACGCCATAAAACTGGCCACTGTAGGGGGGAAGGGGAGGTCAGAAACTCCAGCATCCCGTACCCTGCTCACCTGCTTCTGGTACCTTTATCTCCTGCCTCCCGCCACCTATTCTCTCAGGCTCTGGCCCTCTATCCCCCCCACCAATGTTGTAACCAGAAAGAAACACAAACTTAAAATAAAGAATGAAGATAAAAGTACATGTGCATAACACTTAGTATAAGACACTTGCCAGACTCTTGAAGGGCATGGAATCTCTCAGAGTTTCTGGGATCCATATAATTATAACAAAAAGTAAACTGAGTACACATGTACATAGTTTATTCAAATAGTTGAATGGCTGGAGACTTTATCCAAATTCTTTCATTTTTCTTTTTTGGGTTTGAGCACAAGGGAAACCTCCTGATCTTCCAGATTTGGATTTTTTTAAGTTAATTATTCATCTCTACAACAATGTTCATCACTAGTCACCAAATAGATTTGAGTTTGATTAATGGTGTCTTTAAAACTTGAAAATATTGAGGAAATAGCACTACAAGTAAGAGTCAATGTGGGATAAGGATGTCTGTAAGGCTACGGTAACTGTCACTATTATTGAGAACTAGCCACTTTCAGGTCAGTGATATTTAGGCTAACCAGAGCGCTATTTAGGCTAACCGTGGTGCAATTCCGCCATTTTGTGTTTTAAAAACACCCTTTGATTAATACCTCAGCTCCATCCTTAAAAACATCCATCTTTAACTGTCAATTTGATATGTAGTCTGCACGGCGAAACAAGTTAAAGACAGTCCCCAGAATGCTAGCCTAATCATTTCAAGTCTCACTTGTGACAGCAATCACAATTATTGTAACAGGTTACCAACAGGGTTACCTCAGAAATAGTGAGTGGATCAGGACCTCCTTCATCTGGTCCTCCACCAGGAGGAACCAACACAAATGGGCCAGGAGGACCAGGCCGTCCAGGAAGGCCAGGTGATCCAGGCAATCCCTTGGGTCCAGGTGAACCATCTTCACCCTGACCAAGAAGGAAATTTGCATTCAGAACACAAAACTATTTTGCAAAACCTACATAGAAGTACTACGTACAGTGTATTAGGAGCAGCTAATCACTGGTCCCTTAAAACATCTGACTGGTGACCTGCCTTGCAGAAGTTTACTAATAGACATATTTTTTGAGTCTTTCCATCTTAAAATTTTCCCCAGTCTTACATTCTCTCGATTATTAACTCTCACCAGCTTGCAAAGTCTCAAAGTTACCATTCTTCACCTCTGGAATTATGTTGTGGCCCAGGCGGGTGCAATAGTTAAGAAATTTCATTTTAGCACAATTTAAAAACACAACGCACATGCACAGTCTGTACATCACTCACATGCTTTACCACTTAAAGTTTAATACACAGGGCCAACTATACATTTACAAGTTTGAGCACACACAAGTTAACACGTTTTTTAAAGGAAATAGCTAGACAGTATATTTTAAAAGCTTAGTTCCTCATGCAATATTGAGTTATATAAGCAAGCACTTCTGAATAGTTTTAGAATACTCAAGAAGAACTTATTCAACCATGCCTCATGCTTTTCTTAAAGCACTTTTCTGGCATAAATTTGGTAAAAATTCCTGCAGCATTGTTCAGTTCCTGCATGGAACTACATGTTCATGCAGACCAATTGAACTACACAAGTAATGTCAGCTCAGGTTCATCAACAGCCACGTTAATATTTGTATATGAAATAGGACTACCTCATGATCCAATTTGGAAATAATCAGATGGAAAAAAATTCCCAGGATTACCAAAAATTGGATGAAGCTACAGGCAGTCAAAGGAACTTTTTGAATTTCATTACTTCAAAACAGAACTGTACAAATTACTCGCCATAAATTTAAACACTGTACATATAATCCAGACAAATTGCAAAATTAGCAAATAATCAATTGTGCACTGGAGTAGAAGTTTGGAAAAGAAGTGCAGGCTCCTTGTCTGAACAGCAGCTGTTAATCTAGGCTAGAGTCACCTAGAGTTTGAGCTGACTTAAATTTAAGCTTAAATGGCATTAGAAGTCGGCCATTCAACTTCAGAGGGAAAGCATTTCAGAAACCTACCGTTATCCCTCTGAGCCCAACAGGTCCATCAACACCAATAGGCCCTGTGGCTCCCTAAAAATATAGATTGAAATAAATTAATCTTAGTGGTAGGCCATTTCACTTTTGATGGAGAGAGAAGGTGATTTTGAAAAAAACAATATCCTACAAGCATATTTGTACCAAAAAAATTCATGCACTTATGCATTCATGCACATTTAATAAGCAGAGAAAAAAAAAACCGACAAAAATACATCATACCTACACATACGCTCTGAAATTAAAATTTCTAGTGCACGACAGGGTTCAGTACAAACTAAATTCATGCTTTTACCATATCATTCACCCCTGCCTCTGCCCCCAAGAGTCTGTCCCCCCCCCCCCCGAGTCTGTTCTCTGAGTCACATTATTGACACCACATGGTGTTAATAATGTGTCTCACAGAACTGAACTTTACATGCTTCAATAGGTTTGATGAAAAAAGTGTAAACAAAGTTCATTAAAGCAATGCAAATGAGGCTTTAACATTGAATGTTGGAAGTGAAACCATGCATGTAACATCACAGGTTTTGAAAACTAAAAAGAAATAAACAGGTGCAGTAAAAACTATAAATTAATTACAAGTTATTATTAGATTTCAAAAGCAATAAAAATGGTCGGATGCACAAAAAGTTAACAGACTTATGTGTCCGTGCTTAGATTTATTTCATTCGTTGATCATACGTGGGCAAATATCTGTAGCAAAACAACAAAAACCAGAAAATACAAAAACTTCTTTTCATGGTCTTTTACTAAAAGTTTTTTTAGCTAAAGTGGTAGCATACAATGGTGGTTCTTAAAATAAATCCTGACACAAAGATCAGGAAGAGGATGGCAGCTGTAGGAAGGAGTTTAATCTTGTCTAATTAAAATTAATATACAACAGTGGGAGGGGGGAGGTGGAAGTACCGTGATGTATGTATAGCCAAGCCAGTAGTATATAAAAATTGTATGATTTGTAACTGTGGCGTAAATACCGTAAAGTAAGGAATGTAACGTTATGTAAGTTGGGTATTTCGTGTAACTGTCTTAATGTAGGTAATTAATGTATTAAGCTTAATGTATTGCATTGTAAGCAGTGTCTGTAAGTAGTTTGCATTGTAAGTAGTTTTGTCTGTGAGTGTGGAAGTAATTGTTTAAAAAAAAAAAGATAGGCAACTGTAGATGATTGTGGAGCCAACAAAAACGTTAATGTCAAAAGGCAAACAAAAAAGGCCTTAGTTCATAACCTTACCTAAAATTAAGACCTTTGAGTTGTCTCCACTCTAAGTGTACCCGACTGATTCTACTTCCACATTTTACACACACTGTAAGTTGTCTTACACAACGTACTCCTATGAAGTCAGTAAGTAGCTGCTGAACATTTGTGAGCCTGCACAAAGGTAAACCTATTTTTTAAAAAAACTTTTTAATATGTAGTTTTCGTGAAATACCTTATCGCCTTTCGGGCCAGGATCGCCAGGCGGCCCTACCTGAAGTATAAAAAGATAAAAGGAGTTAGTGTTATTTTCAGAGTTTATTGAGATGGCAGTCAAGCGACCTAAGGTGAATTATTTTTGCCATTTTGTGTCAATAATATTGATCTTGGCCGTTTGTTTTAAGCTTAATTTTGGAATGCATGTTTTACTGGCCCATTTCATCTCAGTCATACTCATTTAATCATGCTTTCCGAGACTTTTTTCCCAGTTTTCAGCTGATTATCAGAAATAATGACTGACCACAACAACAAGTTCAACATTTGCATTCTTATATCACAGCATGTAACACAACAATATTTACCCTTTGTGGAGGTGGTGGTCGCTGTTCGGCTATGAAAAGGGAACAATAAGTGTGAGTACCAGTTAAATGAAAATGTTTTTGTTTTTTTACTCTCAGACCACTCTACATATATCCGTTTTATGTGACTTGCTTGAGACAAGCAGCTGGCAGAAGTGAACTAAATCCTTGCGCAGTTATTCAGCTACCCAAGGGTAATGAACCGTATATTGATCTGTTGACCATGCTTGTTCAGTCCAGATGGGTGGATTTTGGCATCATTCCTTTTTCTTTCTTTCTTTTTTTTTTCTTTTTTTTTTTCTCGCTTGTTTATGGAACTAAACTAATCCTTGACCAGAGAACAACTTGTAAGACATTTAGAAAATTATGATAAGAAGGATAACATACAAATTTTTGTATAGGTTGAAAAAATTCTGTACAAGTTGCCAAAGCAGAGTTAATGTTTTAGCGATCATAAACTTTCCACCCTGTCACAGCTCAGGCACATCTTTCTCAATTGAATGTGGCAGAAATCTGTTTGTCACATGAGCTTGGGTCAACCAAGGAATGGGCCAAAACATCCATGTATAGGGCTGGAAATTCAAATACATGGTTTTGATTGAGTGTCAGGGACTGGAGCAGAATTTCCAAGGCCTCATAAATTCTCCTCCTCCTGACGCTCAATTGAGACCATGGATTTGAACTTCCAGCCCTATACGGGGATGTTTTGGCATGTGACTTGGTTCAGCCATGCTCACAGGACAAAAAACTTTGGTATCTTGTTTCTTATTAGCTATTAACCTGTTTACAATGTATGACAATACCAGAGAGTGATTTACATTAAAAAAAACACAGTTGGTGATCGAATGATAAAAAAATTATTGAACTCAGTTATCCTAAGATATCATGATTTGTCAGTGTTGTGCAGATCAATTATTAATGTCTCATCCTTCAGCTTTGGCAAATAATTGATCTGCTCGGCACTGACAAAATCACAATGTTTTTTTCACCCTCATCCAGTAATTGTTAACTCATTCATTCAGATTAGTCCACATATAAGAATTAATTAAACCATTCTAAATTAAGAACTAAAGCGAACCTTGGCAAGCAGATAACTTTATCTGTTCTATGACATTTTCCAAATCATTGAAATCAGCAGTGTACACATTTCTTGTATTTCCCGCCATCTTCGTCAACTCAGCCTTATCGTAATTCTTTCCAACACCTATAGCAAATATGGTAGCTTCTTTTAATGTACGTAATTCATTTGCCGGTTGCTCAACTGAATCATCTGCCTTTCCATCTGTTATGACAATACAAACATTGGGTTTATCTTCTCTGTCTTGCGCTGGCGTATACAACTGAGTCCTTGCTTTTTCAAGTGCTTTTCCTGTGGATGTTCCGCCAGAGGGGTATTGCATGTCGTCAATGGCTTTGTCGATGTTTTTTTTGTTGAAGTAAGTCCCCAAACCAAACACCGGTTTAACATACGACGAAGACGAGTATATAATTGCACCTACATGGGTATTGTCAAAACCTACATTGAATCCATCAATCACCCTTTTTATAAAGGTCTTCATCAGGTCGAAGTTTCCTGCTCCAGCTTGCCTGATACTTCCACTGCCGTCAATCAAAAATGTCAGATCAAAGTCTTTGTCACACACTGTTGAGGTAAAGTAACAACCTGAGTTTGATGGATAATTAATTCTTTATTTATAAATACTGTTGTACCTGGCTAATTCAAACTCTGTTTTTTCGAACCCCCGTTATTTCAAACTCAAACCATTTCTCTTGGATTTGCCCTTCAGTCAGTTTACTATCGGCTATTTCAAACTCCCGCCATTTCGAGCTATTTTTTATTTCCCCTGAGAGTTCGAAATAGTGTGGTTCAACTGTAATTCTTTTCCCTCTTTCACTTGAAACTACTTGAGGTATACTCAGCTCGTTGTCAACTTGAAAATGACGTACGCCTGTTCTGCAGGCTAGATAGTTAACTACCACAGTAACAAGTTTGTCAAGCTGAAGTCTGTAGTATTATAACACTTGCCCTGATGAAGAATATGAGAAGTTTTATTACCGTTTCTAAGAAAGCATAACTAAACATGAAGATATATAAAGTATACTGCATGCAACAAAGAAGATACACTAGCCGAGGAACTTATTTGCATAATTTAACATATAAATCGGCTGGCAATAAATCTAGCTTGTGAGAGGAAAATAATGTAACAATATAATATTAATAGTAATAATAATACTGTATTGATAAAAATTTAGATAGCGCGACTTTCCATGAAATCGTATAAAGTCAGCATTTCGAATTCAACATTTTGCAGTATTTGTTTCATACGAACTGTATTTCGCGGCAGATTTGTCGTTCTTATTCAAAAAGGTGGCGAACTGGGCGATCTTTGTATGGTTTGAGTTACACTGTCACACAATGAAACTATAAGACAAAACCCCTCTATTTCAGCATTCCTGTGTCGTGCAGTTGCCTATCGTATCGGTTATCGTCTTCAGATTATAAAACAACGGTCATCATAGTTCGCTTTTTGCACCCAATGACCAGAACTTAACACAAAAAGAGCTTTTTTTTTTTCAGTTGTTTGAAGCATACGGGAGTTTCCCTCCTTGTTCTTCGTAGTTCTACAATATGAACGAAAACTGGCGTGCTAAACATTCGTGAGATAACACGTTACGTGAGTTCCAAACCCCGGGAAACCACAAGATCGGCCTGTTGCGGTTCTAATCTTCGTTTTCCAAATTTTACCATCAAGCATGAAATTTTTTTCGCCTTCAGTCATTTATGATCAAAATATCTTATTCTTAACTTTTCTGGTAATGTAGATGTTAATATGTTCAATGTCTTAAAGTGATTACTGACATTTTCCGTTGAACACCGGAATGGCTTTCCTTGTGATAACAATATCTGTTGTCTTTGAATTTAAGATCACGCAGGCATGTGTCTGAAGACCTACTGCTACCTTTTCGCAGAGAATGTCTTATTTAAAGAACTTTTCAGCAACACTAAGTACCTCTTACAGCCCATACACGTCTTTGGTATACAAAAGGGGTATTTAAGTCAATAATCATAATTTGCGTTTGAATATAGTTAAGTTTAATTCTCGGGTTTATTTAATTTTCTATACTTTGCCAACTTCATGTAGAATTTA